GACACAACTGAAACATTGCCATCCTGTAACAAGTGCATTGATTGTAATCTAATCATAAGAGTGGCTAACCTGTAACTCCACATACTATGGCAATCAACACAAAGATCATTAGTCATAAGTACCTCAGTGAACTATATTAATTATATGCATTTATCTATAATCAGGCGAGATTAATGAGAGATGATGCCTGAGATGGCAATAACTAACATCACGGCTTGTTAACTTGTCATTTTAACCCTGACCTTTAAGTTGATATCATATGTTCGTTTTAGTCAATTTGGGTATGGGCAGGAACGTATTAACCCAGTAGACCGTGTTCTTTCAGATGATTAGAAAACATTAACATCAAGAGGTCAGGGGTCAACTGGTATAATTTCCGAAGGCGCCCGAGCGTAACAATCTGTGATGGCAACCAATGTAGAAAATAAGGAATATATATACTTAAAAATATTGTCACTTGCTCTTATTTAAATTACCGTTTAAATGTCAATGCCATGGACCCCGGCATAATGTAATCTCTATTGTCTATAACTATACACTCTTTATTTGACGTAGTGTATTCTACCAAAATCGTAGTGTAATTCATATAGTCTATGACTATACATTTTTCGTTTGACATAATGTCACGTCGCAACTCAAGTTCTTTCTGTGAATGTACAGTATGATGTAATGTCTTGCAACCTTGTCATAATGTATTCCCTTGCCGCTGGGAGTGTGATATCACCAGCCTGACTCAGGCTATGGGGTCAAATCGATCTCATATTCTATTCATACAAGCGCGTAATGGTAACGGGTTTTATAAAGCGCCCTCTGATTGAATAATGTAAGTACTGTCGTATTACGAACATAATATAATCAGCTTTCGTCCGTAAAATATTATTCAATTGTGTTATGCGTAATGAATAAGCCGGAAGTGAGGAGGTCCTGCTAGCAGACGACAGCACTGTTATGACAACCGTATGCGTAAAAACATTTCGGAAAATGGTGAATGCAGCCGGTGACAGGCTCACGAAAAACGGCAGCATCTTTATCATTATTCGCGACTACGCAACTATCGGAACACATCGTCGGTTTGTTTTGATGGATGTCTCGTCCGGAGCATAAGGCAATGTTTCAGCAGTAAAACTCGTCACGGATTTCATCACGTTGCCGACCATGGACGAGAAGTCCAGATATCGATAACTTCGTTGGTATCCAACAAAAAGTTAAGACGGTAAGACAAGGGGTCATGTGACTGAATTAGCCAACGAGCGAGAAATAAGTAGCTTAGATAGAAAATTAAAAACTAACAAACACGAAGTTTCGTTGGTTGCAACTTTATTTTTCACGAGACATCTTCCAAACAATGTTGACACTCTTACTGACGATCTGAACCAGTTGTACGCCACCAACCAACTAGGCATACATTTTATAGGCTAGAGTCAGCACTCTTTTATTAAACAGCATACTGCATTTCGGAATGCGAGTAGATTTCACACTCTCATATCAGGCTCTTGAGGATGCGGGATTCGATAGTTTATGACTGTACTCTCTTCATTCGACATTTGTTTTCCATTAATTGAAATTTAAATTCTAAAATTATATTTGCTGCATAATTAATATAGGAAATATCATGGTCATTCAATGACTTTGTGACATGTGGGACATGTATTACGTAATGAATCATGTAAAGTTCTAAAAAAGATCCACGAAATTAAAATCGCGTCAGTATCATGTCAAGTAATAGTACTTTCATATCCCCGGAATACCGATAAATCACTTTGTGAACACACAAGGGAAATTAAGGAGAAGTGACTGACATCGTACTACTCATCTGTGGAATACGATTAGAAATAAAGCTGTGTATTTCGTGTTCACCGGAGAAACTAACACCCACACAATGCTGAATTTGTCGACAAGGTGCCATAACGAATAGCACCACCCAGCTACACATTAATACGAACATGTAATTAATATGATAATGCGGAATTTTATAAAAACAAATCAGCTCACCAAATTAAACTAAATATCAGATTACAAATTAGTGCGAAAACGATTTTCATATTAGAATGACGTAGAATAATTTTAATCGTATTAGTTAATTATGCAAGCTAGCAGTGTGTCACTGTTGCTCGAGCTAACGGAATGTCCAATTGTTGACATTGTTGTGCGAGTTGGTAGAATGTTCTTTTACTGATATTGTTGATGTGCTAGCAGAGGGTGTCATGCTGGTAGAATGTTACAGCGTGGACATTGTTGTGCGTGCTAGCGGAATGTTCCATTATTGACACTGTTTGTGAGCTTACAAAATGTTTCATCGTTGACACATCGTCGTGCGAGCTTGCAGAACGTGCGAGCTGGTGGAATGTCCCATTGTCGATAATCTAGCCGTACGCGAAGAGCGGGGACAGGAGAATTGCTTATCATATTACAATGACCATGTGACAATCAAGTCGTTGAGGGTTTTACCCCCTCCCATCACCCTGAAAAGGTTTGGTATCAGGTGCAGCAAATTGGTTCAGGGAAACAGTTTGCCATCATATCACTGTAAATAATGTCACTGTAATGAATAAATTTACACAAAACACTAAATAGACAACATGCACAATCATGCAATATAATTCAATGATTGCCACCCAACAGTACTCCATATTTGACTGCACGTCTGTCCGTGACATTGTTGATGTAATGCTAAAAAGCCGTGGGTGTCACGTGTCAGCACATTACCGACGTATATGTCGCCCACAGCGATCAATATATCCACTGTCTGTGTTGTACGGCGTGTGTGGATAATATCACTGGAGTTCGCGTAAGATTCTTCGTGTGGATGTCGTTTCCGAAATTCATCCGTTGGTGTATGGTATATATGTGGTCGATGTTGCCGAGAACAGTGATGTGTGATTGGTATGCCGCTTAGAAATCTCGCATGACACGCTATAGTGGCCACGACTTTGTCACATAGGTTTTTACAGTGCTAGGAGAGGGTGTCATGTGACGGTTACGTTGACACCGTAATAGAAACATTCGAATCGTGTCCGTAGCGAAAAATAAACATCACCACTGTGTCCATCGCTACAGTGCGTTAAACAATCGTAAACTAGACTAATTTAATAATTGCAAGTCGAGCCGTAGCACTGTAATTTCACGTGATTGACTGGTGTAAAATAATTCCCATAATCGTCTCAAGGCAGGCATCACCGGAAGAGTTCCACTGTACTCCGCGCCACTGTGTCAGATCATTTTAAGGATGCTGTATAAAAGCCCAAGGTCCACCTCATCATCTATTCACAATAACTGAGATAGCCGGCATAACTACGGTGACATGGGAGCCCCGGTCAAAGAGTGACTATCACGCCACTTGGCTTACAGATGCTGCGCTGAAAATTTACATACCACGGATTGGTAATTGTTATAATCTCATTCGCGAGGACGGACACTTAAAAGATGGCTCAACTGATCCTACAAGCTCTCCTCTAGCGAGAAGCCAGCTGGACTTTGTATGTGCAATGATTATACGGACTCTCTGACACAAGCATGGCGTCCTTTACATGGGGAACCGTTACGTGGACATTGTTAGCGGTACTGCTAATCGCAACACAAGGTGGGTGCTTGTAAACATGCTTTTTTTCTCTTCTTTTAAAACTGCTCGGTGTTCCGCAGTAGTGATATAGACTCTAACCCGATACTCACACTTTCGTGATGCTTTGCTTTGTACATCAGTTAGCGTGCGTGGTTTGACTATGTTATTAGACAGGCATGCAAGACACATAGGCGCTTGAGATTGTCGAGTTTTGCTTGCTCTTAACAACATCATGCGTAACTCACAGCTGAAAAAAACATCGGACGTGAATTCCATTTCCTAATTCAAATACAGAAACACGGCTACCTACATTGTATTAGTTTCCAAACCCCTTCCATGATATCAGACCCAGTGATATATTGCAGATTTATTGTGCCGGTCTAAAGACAACAACCTTACGAGTAACATTACCGTCCTTGTTGTAAGTTCCACATCATCTATGAATTATTGTTGACCCAGTCTTATTGGGCTTATGTCTATTCAAATGGTACATTTGAATGAGAAAAAGATGTTACCAAAGTTTCAAAAACCAAACTATTTCGTGCGTGCTTGCCATGGTTTGTCGCGGGGTATACTGCAAGTGATAAACTTCAGGTAATCGTCGGAAGGGGGGGGGGGTAATCGAATTTCCATTTCAACGTATAGATTTGGCAAGGACTAAATCCTCCATGCGTTCACGAGTATTAGTTGATTTAGTGTAAATGCCTCCCAGTTTACATTCAGTTTACAGCGTGACATACACCACATTTGCCCAGTCACCAAAGCCGAGTAAATCTCATTTGCGCACAAAACAATGGATGTAACATATTTTCAGTTGAAAAACATTTTCACGACCGAAATAACTTAATTATCACCTATTCATGTTAAAATTAACGGAATTACAACTACGCTAAACAATCAGAATTACATACATTGATAAACGCCGAGCGTGGGGGTACATATGAAAGAAACACTTTTTACTCATATGTTTGAACGCTGGATCGATCCATTCATTAATTGCAGATACCCAATCTCTTCAACAGATATCAACTGTTGACGTTAATACATTCCCCTATCTGTCGATCGTATTTTCTGTCCATTCCAATCGATTTAATTAAAGAAATTCACCCCAAGTTGATTAACCGCATGCAAACAAAACGTGTCGCAATTTCTCATCAATTGCAACACTCGATGGCTAATGAAAATGTACATAATTTTGTAAAACTAGAACCTACATATACGTCCGAAAACGAGGCTGACTGATATTCATAATTGCACCACATACTGCGATCAGTAAGGAGGGAGGGGTTGGAAAATGAATAATTATATGTCATTTAAAAAAATGTAATTTCACACTCAAATAAACATTTACATCTCGAATTTTAACAACCATTTTTACGCACCACAGTTACCGCCATTCGTCGTGTCTACCATGACCAGTTTATTTACTCATAGCACTGACTATGTTTGTTCTCCATTAAACTATTGCCTTAACGTTCACCAACAGTTGTTGGGTATCACACCATATCAATTACGACCAAATGGATTCTCTGTCCAGCTCAGACAGTTGCCAATTATGGCGTCCTAAAACCAATCCGCCAGAAACAAGTTTATTTTAAATTCATTCGAAAATTGTTCTTGTAACTTGGTAAATTTATCAACAACAAAAAATACGTCAATACAAAAAAAAGAACTTTTCAGTTTGATTTAATAGAGAGAACGCATGGAATAGTAAACAGATATGTCAACCGAATGGCGATAGTATCTTACTCATTTGCCGCGGTCGTTTTATCGCATCAAATGATCAATTTATTTGATTATAATTATTATTCTGGATGAGCACCCGTCGTTCTAAGCGGTACCTTAAACAGTCAAGCAAATAAAAAGATTGATGTCGCCGATTCCGCCGAGAACATAAAACAACTAACATTTATAATACATTGATCAGTGCGGCGAAACATCTTCCGCAAGCGCAGATTGCTGCTATGGTAACCAACTTGACTGCAGTTGACTTGTTAAACTTATATTAATTATGTTATACGAACCATACATAGCTAATACAGTTTTTCAAAATCAAATGACTAAATCCGAGATAGAGACATTAATATGTTTTCTTAAATTCAGACGATTCCCGACGCAGCGTTAGTACCGTGTAGATAAACACACATCGGTGACAAATACAGCTGTGTAAACGCCCCTGTCACCACTTGTCGTCACATGGAGACGGATTATTAGTAACTTGTGACCGGCAATGCACTTGACATCAACGTCATGCCGTGTAAATTCATAACGTGCTGTTTCTACTTAGTTGGAAAGCGTCAATCTACGTTTTCACATTTATTCTAATATACAGACTGTTAATAGTAACTGAACCTGACAGCTGTCAGTTTGCATAGTCAGAAAGCTAACACGTCTTTAATATATTTAAATTGACAAAGCAATTCAAATATGCCGGGAGTGCGCTGCACACTGACGTCCTTGCGTGTACGCGCAACACGCACATATACCCACGCTTATATACGCTAGTTCTGTACAATCCGCCATATTCACTAATATGCGCGTTAATTTGTATTCCATGTGCACACCCTGTGTCAAATCTCGTCCTTATCAAGCTCTGTTGCATCAATAAAATGAACTTCAATCAGCAATAAGAATTATAGTCTCCTTAATGATTGACGCCGTTCAGTTCATCGATGAATAAAAAAACCCGACACAGATTGAAGTGGCAAGAAATTAGCTTGACATCATTAATAGACACGTGATCTAGTCAAAGACGCCAACTGCCAAGAACTTAATTTGAATTATCTAAATCCAAATCATTAACTCGCTTTTTACCGTTGTCTTATTTGCAGATGTACCACACTGCATTGCGATAAGTTGCATACATGTTTACAATAAAAAGAATTTTAATTTCCGTTGAATTCTGAACATTCTAACATAACCACAAGGACTGATGGAAATCGATTCCAATACATAATATCAAAGTATCCATAAAATTAACAAATATAAATCTGTTCACAATCTACATTAAAATAATTTCAAAAAAGTGACAAGCTGGCTTTATCATGATCTGGAGTATTTTTTGCGTTCCCTGTATCGACTCGGCGCTGTGTTGTCCGAGGATCAGTCAAGGTAGTCTTCAAAATGGCAACTGCAACCCATTAGCTAAGTACTCTCCTACGCCCCGTGATACATACACGAATATTCAGTTTTCTAACACACATTGCTGTAGTTGCCTGCTTTCAATGCCTGCTTCGGCGTGTGAAGGCAATGTCCAGCATTATAATGCATGGGTAGAAGAAACAAAACAAGTCACTCACTACTAAACCTTCGATCATGCCCAAACCACTAAAATCAACTGACTCTCCACCAAACCCCCCCCAAAACACTCAATTTTATACACGTACGGGTAAGGTGAAATGTCCATGGTCATGTAGCAGGCGAAAAAGTCTTACACAAAAATTAAAGTCACTTCTAAAACAGAGCGAATGTGAAATTATTTTTTCCTTTGCCCGTCATCGGTTATGGTGTTAAGCTCAAACATAAACAGACTTCTCAGTTTAATAGTGACAGTAAACTAAAATTCAGTCTTCAAATACACCCGAACTATAACATTTTGTATTGAAATGCATATTCAGAATTTTTAATGAAGGTATGTACTTTTCATTTTGTGTGTTATAAATTGTAGAAGTTTATGCTGAATGGAAGATTGAAGGTGATTGTAAATTGGCTTTAGTCACTTTGGAGTTTTGGAGTCATTTTTTAGTCATTTTGGAGTTTGTGCACAGTTAACTAACCCATGATGTCCTGCTTCATTTTAAATTTTGTCATTTTCTCTCTTATGAACGCTATAATGCGAATATTTTTTAATGTAAGAATATCTGTGAACATAATCCGCCACTACTGCATGTGCACAGAACGGTGTTGTTTGGTTCAGTAAGTTCTTTTGGGGGTGTGTGTAGCATGGAGCTCCGTGGCTGACTTGGCAGTGAATACCATGTTACAAAATACATAACTAATAATGTTCGAGTCCGTACTGCATTGTTGTACTATACTTTTATTTATTTTTCATTTAAAACTTTAATATATAGAAACCCAACTATACCAAACGTAATTTGTGTTCCCACTGGGCAATGCAGCATACCCATTTCCATGCCCTAAACTTCAAACCATCTGACACAAAGCGATAGCTGTCACGGGATGTAATCAGTACTTCATTGTTAAATAATTAAGTAATTATACACGCTAGATTGAACACAACATTATCAGCGGCAACATCAGTTGTAGTAGTAAACATTTAACAATGTACCATTAATATGTCATGACACCCATATCAACACCGACATACATTTATTTCCCGAGTCATTTTATTTCAATGTTTTCTCCGAATTCTTGACATTCAGAAATTAGTGAACACTGAGGGTCATGCATACAGTATATTATGACGTCATCGACTTTATTATGTATATCACATCGTTATATTGAGATTCATAAATCGCGTACGTAGTTGAGTATTTGAAAATTAATGTTAACTGAAACACAGTGCATACATAGTGTCTTCAGAACAGAACTTCCAGCGGCCTTAAAACGAAGAATTTGGAGGATTAAGAAAGGCTCACTAAAAATTAACGGCGATGACGAGTGCGAATATCCAATTATATATATTAATTGATAATTGTGAACGATGACAAGAGTGTCATAATCAAAATTTATGATATTGAGGTCACATGACCAAATTAGCATACGCATTCAATTACTGAGCTTGTGAATTAGATATGATATCGTGTTACATGTCTCCCCAGTGTATAAGGTTTCCATAACCTCTATTTTAGCTGGTTGGTTTCTTCAGTTAATGACTTACACGTCACTTCGTTTCGTTGCATTGCCAGTCGTTTCACTGATCTCCGAGTTTGCTTGTTATTGTTTCTATTAGCAACTAGGCTGGAAATCAAACAAACAAAACACGAGGAAACATGAAATATCAAAACCTGCGTGATACGACTTCGTGAAATCATTTAGTTTCTTTGTATATTACTTCAGAC